GATAGCGTGTGGTGATGCCCAACTTTAATCCCAGCCCTTGCAATGGTGGGGCAGAGGCAGGGGGATCTCTCAAGGCTAGCCTGGTCTACACAGTGAGTTCCAGACTAGCCAGGGATACACAGTGAGATCCCATTATAAAACAACAACAACAATAATAAATAACTCAAGAACAAAAGGCAGAAACAAATGAACCTAACTAAGGTCAGGGAAAGAGCCGATAGGCCCCAGTGAAATACAGGGCCAGGGAGAGAGAAGGCAGATTGCAAAGACAACTCCCTTCTCAGTGTGTGGAAGACACGACACAGACCGATGATGAACCAGAGCTGAGAGACACAGCGCAGGTTCAACAAGGAACGCAGGGTGAGTGACGAGTAGTCTAATACAGCGGGAGACAGCTCAGCCCCGAGGCAAACCAGAGGAGGCGGTGTGTGGCTGTGTGGACAGGGATTCCCGGGGCTTAAGAGTAGACAGCGTTCATCCCCTTTCTTCTAAACTGGTCATATTTATGAATAAGAGGTGAATTGGTGTGGGAACCGTCACAACTAACTCAGGAATCCTCTCTCTCTCTCTCTCTCTCTCTCTCTCTCTCTCTCTCTCTCTCTCTTTCTCGTGTGTGTGTGTGTGTGTGTGTGTGTGCCCACAACAGTCCTTCTAGGGTGGCTCAGGACCCTAGTGCAGACAGATGGAAGCACTGGCCTTTCAGACATACCCCAGGGCTCTGTGGTCCTTATGCACACTGTTTGGGGATCCCTCCCTCCTCCCCAGAAAGCCTGTAGGGTTCCCCTTTGCTCTCTGCCCATCTCTTGTGGCCCAGCAGCCTCTTTGTAGGCCTGCCTCAGGCCCCACACCTGCAGCGTCTCTCCCTCTGATCTGCTCAGGAATCCTCCTACGTCTGTCCACTCCTCCCTGTCTGTCCTCTCCTTCACCCAGGTCTGTGCTTCCCAGTGCTTTCCTGGCAGCCACACTTGCCTCCTCAGCACCCTGTCATCTCTCACGAAGTCCACACCCACTCCCTACATATAAGCCAAAAGGATGGTCTCCTGTTCAAAACACATCATGAGACCGGAGGGATGGCTCAGTGGTTAAGAGCATGGGCTACTCTTCCAGAGGACCAGGGTTCAATCCCCAGGACCTACATGGTGGCTTATAACTGTCTGTAACTCTAGTTCCAGGGGATCCAGTGCCCTCTGCTGACCTCTGTGGACACCAGGCATCCATGTGGTACACATATTTGCATGCAGGCAAAAATACTCATACACATGAAATAAATCTTAAAAACAAACAAATATACCCAATGGCTTCCCACATCACTAGGTGGCCTTGGAGAGCTAGCCTCCCGCCTTGCCGGCATCCTTGCATGCACGATCCTCTACCCATATTGTTTCAGCCACTGTGGCCTGCTTTTTGTTCTACAACTCTGCAGACTCATTCCCTCCTGCAGGGCCTCCCCAGCTCCTCCTTACCACCAGCACCCGACAACAAAACTCAAGGTCAAGGAGGGAAAAGACCACTTTCAGCAGCAACTAAACTCCTCAGTGTCGAGGAGTCAGGCCTCCTAGAGCACCCTCTAGAGCCCACCTCACCTCTGTGCCAGGGCCCTCTTTTCTCACATCACCCATCGCCTATTGTAGTCTCCTCAGTGTCTGTGGAGCAATGGACTAGGTGTGGTGGCGCACGCCTTTGATCCAGAACCTCAGGAGGCAGAGGGAGGCGGATCTCTATGAGTGTAAGGTCACCATGGTCTGCATATGGAGTTGCAGGCCAACCAAGGCTATACAGTAAAACCTTGTCTTTTTTTTTAAGGGTGGGATGATCCCAGCCATTCCTCCAAAGCCCCCCAGATAGCACAAACATCCCTTGACCTCAGTAACTTAAATTACCAAGTTTGTTCACCTCCGTGCCTCTATTACTAAACCGCAGACCCTTCGAAG